AAGAAGAAAAACATCCCTACCTTATACACTTAAGGGCATTTCTGACAAAAGTCTTGGGTGCAGGAGCTCCAAGATAGCTGTCAAAATGTTACAATGACATTCATGTATTCTTTTTCTACTGAGCTAAACTCCAGAATTTAAAGCTGAGAAAAAGAAGAGTTTGGAGTTTCCTTTGATAATTCAATTCAATCAGAATGAAGTCTTCAAAAAGGCCATCAAGGACTGAATCTACCTCTCCATTTTACCTCTCTATTCCAAGACTGTAATTTGTAGGATTTTCTACATAGAGTTTTGTGTGGCCAAGATTTATACAATTGTTTGTCCCAGATCACATTTACTGGTTTTACCTTTCCCTTTTTACCTTTGTTCTTAAAACACTACTGGAAATGTGAACACTTGTAAACCCTCAGAATGCTTTTAACACCTTTAGGCAGCTTTATTTGGACAGATGCCTTATTTTATTACCTTTCTAAAAATGCAAACAATGCTGGATAACATTCTGTCTAAGGTTTGTTTTTTTTTCTTCTATCAGTCTCCTGAGCAGCTGTTAGGCATTTTCTTCTTAATATGATCTAGGATTCTCTGCTGCCAGTAGATAGAAGCTGAATGTAAATTCATTCCCCTCCCCCCAGCAGCTCAAATGCAAATAAAGGGTCTATAAGCATAATGAACAGATGCCTTTTGTCATAACTAAGTGCAGAAATCAATAATGCAGTACAAAAGCTGTTTGAAGGTAAAATGACAAATCTAACAAAAATCTGGAGTGCTTATTCAGCAGCTTCACAAATTCCTGCATTCTCTTTCATCTGGATGATAAAAATAATCTGTCTTGGGTTGAAATTTAGTACGAGTTAATAGTAAGAAATTTCATGTGCTTGCAAAAGAAATAAAAGCATACCTATTTGCAGTTCCTTACAGAGTATTGTAGTAGTGGTTTCAAAACTGGGGTAAATAAAGAATAATTTTTTTCTGAGGGGACAAAGCTAGACTACATACATTATTAAAGAAAATGTGCCAGTCCTTTAGAGACTGGATAATAATTTTCATTGTTATGTTTTAGCTCCTAATGTTCTAGAAATGGAAAATGCATAGTTGTGAAGTTTTTGATGGCTCCCAGGTGTCATAGGTGGTGTAGTGGTCCTTTCAACCACAGTCAGATGCAGTATACGATGGCATGTTGCAGATTTCTATTTTGCTTTGTCTCTGAACAGCTGTCCCATCACAAAATGCTCTATTTTTTTTCCTAAAGCTAATAATTTTGCTGTGTGCAGTCCCCCTGCTGTTGGCAGAGATGCAACCCACTGGATCAGGTTGCTCAGAGCCCAGTTTAACATGGCCTAGGACACTTTCAGGAATGGGACATCTGCAATTTCTCCAGGCATTTTTTTTCAGTGGCTCACCACACTCACCATAAGGAATTTCTTCCTAACATCCAACTCTCCTCTCTTTTAGTTGAAGGGTGATGTGTTTCAACTTGTGAGTTTCTCTTCAATGTACTTTGTCTTGCAATGTGCTTGAGGGAGTCCCTTTTAAGCTGAATCTGCATCCTTCTGAAAATCTGAATGTGATGTGTCATTATGTTTTAAATTATGTTAGTTAACGCTTATTGGTATTCTAGTAGCTCAATTTATAACAAGCATACAAATTCTAGTCCCTTGTAAAATGTGAATTATTATATCTTTTTTAAGTACCTGTTCCCCATTATTTTTATTATATTTGAATGGTTCCTCAGTCATGATGGGTGTCTACTTTCTTTAGTGAGTGTACTGCATTTTTATAAACCCATGAACATGGGATTGCTGTGGCTTGCAGCTGGCCACAGGCTTTGTGTTCAGCTGACAACAAGGTCCTCTTTACCTATCTGGCTTTGGCTGGCTGAACTTGTCTTACCCTGCCTGGAGATTTGTTTTGACTTGTAAAAGCATATATCTAATGACAGAATAATACATTTTATCTGCCTTATTATAGCTCTTGCTTAATTTTGTGCAGTTGTGTGGTGTAACCCACCCTGGTATATGTGCTTTGTATTTAACAAATAGCTACAACATGTAGTTACTCAGTGTAGAGTTAACTATCTATAACCCCAGACTAAAATGGAACACAGAAGAGTAAGGACATGTCACCATAACTGAGGCCTTGAAAGGACTGGTATAGGATGGTACTAGAGGCCTGTGAACAGCTCACCAGTGGCCAATTATTGGTCATCAAATAGTGTGATCTTGAGAGCAGAATGAATCCAGTTCCAGGGGAAACCCTTTCATAAACAGTATGTTCCTTTTGCCCATCTCAGCATCCTGAATGTGACAAATCACTGGGAATTCAGACAACCTGTTCTGTAACATGGGTATCACACCTCAGTATGCCTCTCAGGATTTCTGTCCCTTATGGGTGACTTGCTAAATTAGTACAGCTCTGACAGAGCAATCTGAATGCTCACCTGGGAATTGTTTTTTCATTGATTATGTAAAGTCTGTGTGCTCCCAACTTTAGCATTTTTACCAGATTTATTTGTTCCATTCTTGTCAATTCCTTTATGTATGGCAACTGGGTCCTCAGTGACAAAACTGTTGACTTGAAGACTTGATTTTTGGCAGTCCATCAGATTGCCTTCTCTATGCATCCTTGCTTTGTTTCCATTCTGGCTGACTTCCACTTTTTCCTATTCACTGGCATCTTTAGACCACATGATATTTTTAAGTAACTTTGCTTATCATAAATAATCCAGTATTCTTCATTTTTCTGAAAAGCTGGGAAATGCATGTGATTTATATTCCAAAGAAGTATTTAAACTATAGGTAAAATGGCTAACCTGTGTTTCAAGTGTGTTTACTGAGACATTTCTTGATATGCTTTTGGATGTATAAAGATGACTTCATTTTCTAACAACGAATGCCATGAAATACAGAGCTCTATATCTTTTTTGCCTTGCATGAGAAAGTACTTCAAATCCTTGACAGACAGCTTTTTTTTCTCAAGTTAAAACTGTTTAGCCATTGATGAGGGGTTTTTGACATCTGATTTTAGAGTCAAATAAAATTTTTCAAGGAAATCTGTGAAATTTGTACTGAGAGAAAATTGGATTTGGAGTCTTCAACCTTTGTTTAGAAAACACAATAACTTTACACCAGGCAGTGTACAATATCTGATTAATGCTATTGTGGTAGATGTGATCTGTAACAATAGCAAATGGATTTTTCAGGTTTCCAAGGAAACAGTGCAATAGGGGCATATGAGGGCATGATTATACATGTATATGTATAACAATTTCTTAAAATATAAAAGCATCAAGATTGGGGGTGGGCTAAATATCCATATTTATAAGGGAGCTATACCCAGCCTAGATTGTCCCATACAGCAATGAAAAACCTTTCACCTGCCCTGACAGAGCCTGAATTTTGCCTGTATGACTTAGTACCAAGATTCTGTACCCTCAGCTAGTCACAGTGTGGGTTGTTTTCTCACCTGCCTAAATAATAATAATTGTCACTACTTCCTAAAGGTTGTTCACTGTATAACCATGGAACAAATTCCCCTACAAAAATAATTAATATCCATGGCATTAAATACAGTCCTTAAAATAGAAAAGGCTTCGCTGAATGCTTTTCCTTGTAAGATTTGTTTATGTACTCGGTTGGAGATGTGTAGGCGAGCTATTTTTCATGAGAAGGAAAGTTTGGTCAGAGTATCACATTCTCTAGAGTTGCCAAAATAAGAAAATGTAAGTGTAGGTAAGAGGAAAAATATAAAAGTTTTCATGGTAGTTAGATATCTGCAGGAGCCTGGACTCCAGTACATAGTACAGAGTTTTGAGCCCTGATTTTAGGAACTGCCAGACTTCAAGTAAATTTATTCAGTTAAACAGTAACATGGTTGTAGGGAAAATTTCTTTCCAAGCCAAAAGGACTGATGACCTTGTTGTTCAGTCTGTGTTGCACGTGTTGTTTGCTTCAGCTTAATCTCCAATTCGTTATGACTCTTCTTCTGAGTTGTCTGTTTATCTCCAGTTGTTGAGTGTATACAAAGAGTCTGCTTTTATCTCCTCCTTGATCTGTATGTTGACACGTGATGTGCTGTAGTAATGCTGAAGGTCAGGCAAGATTAATCTTTACAAGCTGTATCATTCTGACACTTGCCTCAGTGATTATATTTGGTATAAGCAAAAGGCATGCCTGTTGCTTTTGTTAATCCCCACTGTAATGAAGTATGCTCTTTGCAATTTTTTTGTGTACTGCAGATGTAGTAGAAGAAGCTATGCTTCCTTGGTTCTAGAAGAATAAAAATTGGAAAATTATTATATGGCCACCCTTGCATTTTGCATGTCTTCTAGCAAACTTAGAAAGAGTGTAATTGATTAAATCTGATGAATGTTGGAAAAAAAGTTTTCATTTCAGTCATTAGGAAATTACTGTTCCTAAGAATACCAATTATCCTATATGAGCTTACTAAATTTTTTTTCTTCAGATTTTGGATTAATAAATTGTATAACTTTATATCAGGTGCTATAAAGTGATAGACTGTAATGAGGCTTCTGTGTTTCACCCATAGCTCAGGACCATTGTATGAGCACTTTTTCTTGCATGTCAATAAAGACAGGAATGTGTTGAAGGAAGTGAAAAATTGAAATGGTAGCAAATACTCAGATTGAAATTTCTCCAAACTGACATCTTTCCAGCTCTCTTTTTAGTTAAAACATTAGTCTCTCCCTACTGAGATAATTTTCATACATGTCATTGTTGTTCAATTATACATCAGTAATAATTTGCTGATGCTTTTTCATGGGTAGTTGTTTTCAAGTCTTTACTGATTTTTGGATGTTGATACCCTTCACAAATATACTTACTTAAAAATTGAAGTGGGTTGACTTGTTGTTGCTAAACTTCCCCTGAATTTTCTGTCCTCCAGAATGCATATATACTTGCAAATATATAAAATATTTAAGAAATGCTGATAATAATCTGTTTGAATGTCTAATTTTTCATTGTTTTGCTCTTCATTTTCAGGTCTGGCAGTTTCTCTTCAGTTGCTTCATGGAGACATAGAACAAATTAGGAGGGAGTATACATCCAGATTTACCCATGGAGTATCCATAACAAGGAAATTAGGTTTTTCCAATATTATAATGCCTGGTAAGTTAGAGAAAACTATCCTAATAAAAGTAAAAGAAAGAACTTATGAGAATTACTTGATTTTCAGCTGATTTTCAAATGAATACTGTATTCTGAAACTTCTTAAACAGTTCCCAAGACTTTTAAGTTACCATTTTTTCAAAAAGATAGAAGAAAATTGTGTCCCAGTGGTCCCAGTGGCCCCATTGCATTATACTGTGTAGTTATTATGCCTGTGTTAAAAAGCATGTGGCTAGAGCAGCCTTTTTTAAGAGATGGAACCTCACTTTATAGAAATAAAGATGACTGGATGCAAGACTGCTGAGCTCTATGCAGGGAAAAAGGTAACCAGCAGAACTTTTTGTTCATAGGAGCTGTTAACCTTTCTAAGTAAAGACTCACAGAATTTTACTGGTACTGTACAGCTTCTGTTTTCATGAGGTTTGTGTCTCGAATACTGGAAATGACTGGAAATAGATAATAATATAGATGTAGGGACTTCACTTTGCTTATATTATATGACAAAATATGCAAGTACTTAAAGCAGTGCTAAGGAAGGTGGAAAGACTGTGTCAGTGTGAATGAGAAGAAGCAAATGTAGGAAGAAGATTGTAGAACAGAATTTATAGCTTCATCCCTGAAATGAAAATTTTAATAAGTTCAGTGGGTTGTTGGAAATTAGGAAGAAAATGTCTCTTTAAAGGAAAAGCATACTTTCAAGCAGATCAGTTTGGCATGATTACGGTGTTATCTTGTTGCTGAGAAATGTTGCAGGGAGGAGCTCACATCTTCTTTTCAGCTGAGTCCACCCATGCAGTCTTGACTTTCTCAAATGTAAATCATTCTCATGACTTTCAGATTTTTAATAGAGACTATCTTCTTCCTATAAAGATTTGTCTTTGCATTCCTGTGGACCTAAATCAGAAGTAAACTAAGGTTCTGAGGCAAGAATAAATAAACTTTCATACTTCACTAATCGAGGAGGTCTTAAATAGGCATTTGAAACTCAGTGACGAGGCTCAGCTTTAGCTGTGGGCATGTATTTCTCTTGAACTTCTGCCTGAAACTTGACAACTGAGAATTCACTCTTGTGTGCTTACTGCCAATTAAACATCTGTCCTTCTGCATCCTTGATCAGCACTACTGGCCACTTAAAACATGCACATAATACAAGTTAATAAAACAGTTTCAGCACTACAATGAAAATGGTATGACTGCAGTACTAAGAATAATAAAATTCATCAGTCAGGTACCATTTAATTTAAAGCTAGTTTGGATATATATGCCTAATGGAAGCAATTCAATTGAAATTTTATGGCTTATTAGCTAGGTTTTATTTGTTGTCTTACTGTTGGATTTGAAATTTGAATCAAATGGGTGTTGTAGATAGTCTGGCAGTTACCAGTGGAAACAGTTTTACTGAGCACACTGTAACTCCCATTAGGAGTTGCTTCTCCAGTTAGCTGTGATTTAGTGACCTGCTGCTCTGTGTTATCAAATTTGTTAAGTTCTATAAATAGATCTCCTATCCCCTTATTTTCTAGTTGAGAAATAATGTGATGTACTAAACTGCAAAAAACATGTTATAGCAGAGTACAGGGTAATCAGCTGCTGGATGAGTTTCTTGACTGAGTTTCAAAGAATTTTATGCAGGTTCACTTTGTCACTGTTTTAGTAAAAGAAAGAATATATGGGTTCTGGTATACTGCTTTCTCAGTCCAGTTGTATGCATTCATCAGTTTAAATAATGTGCAACTTCTCTGTTTACTGGCATGGAACGGATTTCTCCTAAAGAGAAATAATAATCTCAGTCTTGCAATGATGAGTTTCAAGGACTAACTAGAGCAGTATGCCCTAGGCCCTGAACTGCCCTCAGCAACATAGCCTTTGAAATGCTTTTTTATTTTAAAGCTCCCCTTTCATTTTATTTCTCTTCTAGTGTTGTTTTTTCTTCACAGATAAATTAGAGAACTTAATCTTTTGCTACTAGAAATGGTCATTAATTAGATCTTATTTTATATTTTTGTTGAAAGGGTGTTGCTGTGGCTAATTAGCACTTAGGTTAGTGTTGTGAATAAGACTCTCTTGAATTATTCAATAAGGAATGCTTCATGCTGTTAAACTGCAGTATCTCTCTTAGAAATGCCATATTTTAAGTCTCTCTCCTATTCTGGTGTATTTAAACTCTCTCTGACCTTCTTTTTTTTGTCATATCAATCCTTTGCTCTGTGGAGGTTTTGCTTTGAAAAGTAACTGGGATCAGCATACGTGCCAAACCAGAATTGACAATAATAATGTTTTTATAGACTAATGCTTTCTGTGTCACTGCAGCTTGACAGGCTGAAGCCACAAAATACACTATCCAGGACCCTTGGAATTTCTTAATGAAGAACTCCAAGTGTTTTAGGAAATGAAGTAGATGTCTGGAAAAAAAGTAGATGGCTATGCCTCAAAAAGGCAAAAGTGAAATAGGTAACTTACTTTATTCTAGCCAACAAAAGAAGGACAGGCAGTGAAAGAGTCAACTTGTCCATTTAATCAATATGCATTTTCTAGGTTCAACTAGGGTTTTAGGGCAGACTCCATGCAAAACACTGGTAAATTCTGTTCCAGCATTCTGGTGTGGTTGTCTGCAGATATACAGCCAATATTCTCAAGAAGCTTTGTGCAACACTGAAGGACAGCTGTGCTTGCACACTGAGTTTCTGTGCTCACTCTTTCCTAACAACCATATCATTACTTAGTATATAGAGTTTAGCATTTGACATTTACAAATGTTGTATCCTTTTGAGAAGCACTCTTAAGTTAGATTTGCATACATAATAGGTATATAATAGTATAGCTAATTTAAGGATAAGAGTTAATGTTTCTTCCTGTCCATCCAAATTATTGAACTCTTGTGATATTAGAAGAAGTTAAAGAATTGGTGCATCACTACAATGGTTCTACCTTGACCACTGTTTACTTTGTACATAAGATTAGTGTAGTATCTGCACTGGTATCTAGAGCTGAGCTAGTCAGTCCTGTCTGGAGAAGTCTTGGCTTATTGGAATTTTTTGATCCTATTCTAATTCGGTGATAGATTTTGACAAATAGCATTGCTAAAGACTGTATATGTAGCTGCACTATTAATTTTTGTAATGGTATTTAATTCTTTCAAACTTACTTGTCCAAGATTAAAAGTTGCATTTTGTTTCAACATTGTCTTTTTTTTTTTTTTTTTTTTTTTTTTTTTTTTTTGGTTACAATTTCTGCTCATTTAGCAGGTAGAATGAAGTGCCCAGTATACTGGTGCACTTTTTAAGTTTCCAGCATTAAGCTTTCATATGGTTAATTTAGGAAAAGTAACTTTTTTTACCATCACATCTGCATTGCTTTACACTTGTCACCTTTCAACTTCATTAAATGTCCTTTTGCTGTCCAGTTAAATCTCATCAGATCCTGTCCTTCAAAGCTACTGAATGTACTAATCATGCCTTCATCTGGATTATTAAAAGGTCTTTTCATGTGCAAGTACACTCAACCTTTTTACTGTTTTCAAAATCCTTTTAAAATAAAACTAGAAATAGAATCTTGTCTTTTTTGTCTCACAAAATGCTGTCTTTGTGATAACATTCATTTTCAATTATGTGATTTTTGACTAGAGGCATTTGTTCTTTCAAAGCATAGAAAACAATTCTGGATAGCAAAAATGTAAAGAAAGCTGTGGAATATGTAGTCTTTGTCATGGCACGTGTCTGTATCTGCCAGTGAGCTTGGAGTTAGTAAAGAGCTGTTGATTCTAGGAGAGGAGGTCTATGTCTGACACGCTTAAACATTTTTCTCCCTTGAGGAGTGGAGTCAATTTCCTGAACTTCTTTATGCTATATGAAGTACAAGCAGTTTAAATTAAACTTCTGCCACTGGATATATTAGTTACACAAAATATGTTTAAGCAATAAATGAGTAAAGACACACCCTGAATTTTGACCTTTCACAAAACTGTAGTACTCTAGGGGGAATATCCTCTGCTTTTAAAATCCTGTTTTAATACTTTTTAAGAACTTTAATCCTTTCTGTTGAAGGAATTAACATTTCTACGAGTCACTGGAGAAAAGAAAGATAATGATGTATTTGGTTAGACAAGTGCAAGGAACTTGTGTAGTGTTTCCCTTCTCCTTTCCATCTCCTCTGTCTTATTTTTTGGTTCATTAGAAACTGAGGGAAAAAATAGAAGAAAACTATGGAAAGGAAAGACAAACCAGAATTTAACTATACTTCCCTTGATTTAAAATCTTTGGAAATGTAGAATGGGGTCTTCTGCAGTTTATAGTATTTGAAGAATAAACTGGCTTTCTACTGAGCACAGAATAAGTAGCAGTGATGCATGGGAAGTGTTTTCAAGGATAGTTACAGCTTGGAAGTTTTTCTTTGATAAACCAGGTAAGGAACACTGGCAAACTAGTAAGTAAATGTGTTAGGTCTGCAAAAACAAACAGTCTTTCAAAATTCTGTCGGAAATATTTTCTTTGTTTTGAAGCTAGACAAAGTCAACAGGTCAAAGTTTTCTGTTGAAAAGAGTTTGCAAGTCTTTTATTCCCCACTTGTTTTACATCTCATTGTAAAAAGGAAGAGAAAAAAATCACAGAACAATTGGGTATTACATGGTAGATGTACAATCCATTTGAAATCTGAAAGTATTTGTTTGAGAATTCCTTGTGAAGGGCATTTCATTTGCTTAATCAGATGTTTTCTGGTGAGTGTGTCTTAGGACTTGTCGAATGTTTCTGCAGTAAAGCTGAAAATGCAGATAATCATATTAAAAACCAAAAGTAAAGTAACTGAGGAAAGTATTAAAAAAATCAGTTTATTCATCTCTGATTTAAATGCCCAAATCTACTTAATCTAATAATAAAAAGGCAGTGATGTTATCAAAGTGGCCAATGCTCCCAAAATCCTAACATATGCAGAGTTGTTTTAATTAAGTTTCCCCTATATAAACAAGAAAATCAGTCATAATACATAAACTAGCTGCTAGTATA